TGACCTTTAACCACCAAAATCTAATCACTTCATGCTGGAGTCTAAGTGAATGTTTGGGCCAAATTTGAAGAAGTTCTGTCAAGACGTTAGTGAGATATCATGTCCATGAGAATGGAATAGACAGACCGACAACCTGAAAACAATATTCCTCCAGCGCTAACTGCTGCCGGCGCAGAGAAATAAAAAAATAACACACGAATCTGATATACTGTCGACAGACACACATTTGGCTGATAATACTTCTGTACTTTTACTTCAGTACATCCTCTGAATGCAGGACATTTACTTGTCACGCAGTATTTTTAACACAAGGATATTGTTAGTTTTACTAACGTAATGTTCCACCTCTGTTGTGGAAGATCACGAGAATATGAACAGGGTAGAAAGTTCAGCAGGTATAACTTCATTCATATCTTTCTTTATTTCTTTATATATGACATTTCAGCACTTTCATGAACAATGTGAGTTTATGACCAGATTCACAGGAGGTTTTCAGTCACTCTTTGAAACAAGTCAAAATCACCAAACACATAAATTAAAGACAGACTGAGCTGTGAGTTTGGCTGTATTCACATATAAAATGGTTGCTCAAAGAGAAAGTTATAGAGACAGTCTGTCTTTCTTATTGAGTCTCCGACACTCCGTCTGGATCCACAATAGTTTAGTCTTTATTTTCTTCAACTCCAGAACGTCACAGACTTTTATTAGAGGCAGGTTTTTATGACTAACTCCCTCTGTTTGATATGTAGAGTTGATCATAGTACAAAGCCTCGTTACCGATGACTTCTCCCTCTCTCTCTGTGTCTTATGTTTAGTTATTCCTTTGCCTCCTTTAGTAATAATGATACATGGAATGAAAGTAGTTTATTTGCTGTAATGGAGGTGAGCCTCAGTGTATTTGAAGTGCTCCTCCTCTTCCCTGCAGTTCCAGAACAGTCAGGAAACCAGAGAGGCTCAGTAGACTGCAACTCAGCTGACCAGTGGTGGAAATATGATCAGTCAGTCAGTTTAGATCATAGACTTTTTGGCTGGACTGCTGTTGCCCAACAAGGGACAAGAGTTGAAAATTAGCGACAGCTATAAACGTTCAGGTTCATGCTTTGTATGGGACTATGTTAAACTGCATTGTCCCTTTTAAATAAATAAATAACTGAACTAAACTTAACTAAACTTTATCAGGACTTAAACAAACAAAACTGTTTACATTCAGTGTTACAAAGTAAAACTTCCTCATCAAACATTTGCAGAACCAACTATTTAAAATCCAGCGCTGTTCACATTACGTTTACCTGCTGACAGTCTTCTTCTTCATCACTGCCTTTCCTAGTCATTACAGCATATTTTAGCATGCTAACACCACCTGTTGAATAGTGCAACAGTGTGACACACTGTGTGCAGACTATAATCCGTATGATTACCACATGACAGTGATGATTTTGTGATAACACAGACATGAGATTCATTGATGGACTAACTTAAGAGAGAGTTCAGTTGTACTGAAATGAATGAATCCAAAGGCTGAAGCAGGTTTGGAGCATTTCATCTACACCTGGTATTGGAGCTATGAGGTAGGGTTGGAAAAAATAAATATTATTCCAGAGCCAAAATGCTCCCTTCTCTTTCCAAACCTTTAACACACTTGAATTTTATTAGCATGCATTTCACCATTTGATTAAACAAGACCAGCTCAGAAAAGCACACCAATAAAAATATTTCACCTTTTACAAAGACATGAAACAGAAGCCAAGTTGAACTTGTTGTGCATCCTTCAGAGCCCCCAAGGCCAAGGTGGAGCTGTGAGAAATGTGGTGAGCAGATCGATGTGCTGAAACCGAACCGCTGGCTACACCTGGCACTGCAGCTTTGATCCCTGAGTGCTCTGTCCACGAGGAGTGATGGTATCACACTAACTGCACTACAGCTCGCAGTTATGAATTATACAGAAGATCAGACATTGATTGACTCAAACACCAAAAGATCAATTTAGTTCTTTTATATTATTTATTCTCTCTTAAGTAAAAATATCTTTTCAAAGTGCATTAGTACAATGTTGAGTTGGCACATGGCAGGTGTCTCGACTTTCTGCACATCAGACATCGCAAACACAATCCACCAGTCTTTGTTTCCAGGATGTTGAACAGCTCAGTTCAGGATCGATGACATCAGAAACTCAAAATCATCAAATGTTGAAATTGCTCCACTGATGTAAATGACATAGTGACATCATCCATGTAAATCTGCTTACTACATTTTAACCAGAGGAGCAATTTCTGTCATCACTGCAGACTTCAGTCTCACAGATGGCTGCTTCGATGATCACTGAATGATTTTTTGTGATGTCAGGACAAACAGGTGTTTCTCTCATGATTACTAGTGAACAATAGATGCTTCCTCCATGGTAACCACCTCTCTGCACCAGACAGTGATTTCCAAGTCCGAGTGAATATCTGTATCTAATGATCGTAAGATGTTTGGGTTATCCTGACATCGAGAAATTGTTATTTTGTGATGATGAGAAAACATGAACATAAAAATAATTGCACGCATGTATGGAAGCTGAGAACAGCCATTGTTCATTCATTTTCATGAGAAACAAAAGGTTGTTTTCTTGCAATAACAAAATAATTATCGCAAATTAATGTCTTTATCTGCTTCTGTATCAATGAGCTCTGTAAAAAAAACAGATATTTCTCCAAATACTGCTTGCTTACACATGCACGCACACATAAAAGATTCTGGCAACAAACAACAAGTCAGTTGTGGCATCATCTTTAAAGATATGGTAAATTGGAAAATGAACACAAAATTGGCAGGTCCAGAAAAAAAAAAAAAACGTAAGTCAAAACTTAATGCACTGTATACACTGCAGAAATACACAAGAACACAAACATGACTTTTTAAGACATCATGTGCTGTGAGATTTCAGATCCATCCATAATGGAACACAGTTCACATCATCCTTTCATTCAGTCACATGTTGAAAATGGCTTTACGTTTCCCTTGGCTTTATCATACAATAATGTGCTTCAGTGATTATTTGGCAAAGTTCCATCAACCATGCACGAAGAAGTAAACCAACACAAAGTGATGGAGAAAAGAGAAAAGGCAACAGTAATTCAGTCTGTAGCATGGACACCGACCTCTGGGATTTGTGTTTTTCTTAACACACAAACTATGAAGAGCACGTGGGCTAATAAGCCTCCATGTCATATATTGTTCATAACTAGAGCAGATGCAACACATACTGAGTACGTGTTCATCACTTCATCAGAATTCCTCATTAATTCACAGAGTGTTCTAAATGTCCCTCATACGTGGACCTGAGAGCTCAGTGCACGGCACTTTTTTGTGTTTCCAGGGGACACTAAAAAGTGATGAACCTGGCTGCGATACACTTGCTGCTGTTGCTGTTCAACGCTTTTAACTTCAAAATTTGCAAAAAAAAAAATCAACAAGTGCGTTCCAGCCAGGTTCATCACTGTTTAGTGTCCCCTGGAAACACTTATGTTGTGAGTGTTTGAAGCTCATGTATTGTTGATTTGATGAAGATGTTTTCTAAAGTTGTTTGTGTTTTGTCTGTTTGCATGGGTTTTCTTAAGTTGCAGTGGATTGAGCTCTCAGGGCCACCGTAGCCTCATCTCCAATGTTACTGCAACAACTCACAAGGTTTATTTTCACATTTTTGAATTGAAATAACAGCTTAAACATTATTGTTCTAACAGAAAAATATCTCATGAGCTTCAGTCATTAGAAAACAAAGTCACAACATATTGAATTATGAGAAAATGTCCTAAGATGTATTAAAAGTAAGTGGATGAATGGCTTAAGATTCATGTTCATCAGTGAAATTCAAAACATCTCAACAAAAACATGACAAAATGTACAGTGAGGTACATTCAGTATTAATATCTATGAAGAATCTATTTAGCAGTTTCACACTAAATCTAACTCAGGAAGTTGTTCAGGGACAGGGACAGACAATGCATTAACACAGAGGACAAACAATCCAATATATTCAAAATAGCTGAGTGTTCAAAAATACATTCGTTGTGAGGAAAAATATCAAATATATTGAAATAAACAATCTGGTATGGCCCCGTTCCCATGATGCACAACAAACACTGAAAAACCTGCTGAAATGTCGGCACATCAGTGAATAACAATAACATAATGAAAGTTAAATCATAAGACTTTTAAAAAAACAGTTGGGCCTTTGGGAAATACTGTTTTTTTTGCTGTTTACCACAGTTACATGAGATCACTGAGAGTTTTTATTTGATATTGTTCAGATCTCCAGTAAGACACTAGCTTAGCACAAAGACTGGAGGCAGGGCAAAGTGTTAGCCTAGCTCCATCAAATGAAAAAATACTGTTCCATAGAGCTAGGCTACAAGCTCCATCTGCATCCAGTTTTTGTGCTAAGTTAGGTTATAACATATGTCTGTCTGAGTCTTAACATGTTATTGTGGGGCTGTTGGTCTGTCACTATCTCAGCTGGGGTTTAAGGTTTAACACACTGAAGACAGGGTGTCCCGGTAGCTCACCTGGTACAGCACATACCACAAACAAGGCTGAGTCCTTACTGCATGTCGGCCGCCTAGTATATTGTCTGCAACAATCTTATGTGGTCAAGTAACCTACAGTGACCCTGAAGCTGCAGTTTAAAGCGGAAACACATTTTCACCATGCCGTTATCAGATCGTTGGCTGTAGCTGAACTCATATTTTTTCTGAAACCTGGTTCCTGTGACATATAGGAATCATCTAATGCCACTGGAGATCACTGTACTAAAACCTGCAAGTTCCAGTTTAGCTGAACCCACTCTAAGTGATGTAGTAACATGGGAATCTAACACCGCTCTCGTTTCATATTCATCCATCCATCACAACCTCCTCCTGATGTGGACTTTGTCTCTCTTCACTTCACTACATCACCGCACTTTTCCCTCTGCTCCTGTCATCATTACTACGACCACTAGATGTCGCCTAGCAACAAAACCTAACTATGGGTCATAATAACCTGCTGCACAGACGACCTACGGGCTTGTTTCTTACAGGAGGACAGTCTCATCTGTTGTGATGTTGCTAGCTCAATAACAGCAACAGCTTTGGGTGTGTCAGTATTGGCGTGTGTTATTGTCTCTTTTGGTAAACACTAACTGGACCCCAGCTTTGTGCTAAGCTAAAAACATCCTGGACCCTGTAAATAATGAGCCTAAAGAATTTTCTGGTGAAGTGTGGGTTTTACAGCAGACAAAGCTATTTCCCAAAATGTCTGTCATGAAATGAAATGGAGAGATGTGTTAACAAACAACAACACTGTCAGTTTAAACTGTCTGCAAACACCGTCACCTTCAGTTGTACTTCATGTGGGTAAACAAAGGTTAATTCAGTGACCATTGTTTGGAATACACTGGCAGAATGTCTCCACAAAGCTTCCGCTCTCATTCCAAGATACGACAGGTTTGTAAGTGCAACAGCTGAGTTGGCGTGGGTATGCACAGTAAGACCTCACTGCTCTGTCTGATTATAATTATTGATCAAGTATTTTATGTAACTGGGATGGATTTGATCATTTCTCAGTATAAAGAGAATGAAGGGTTTTTTAATATCTGCCTGACTGTCTTCTTTAACATCATCAGAGAGCCAACAATTAACAGACTGACAGATGATGAAAGAATCATTGACTCCATGACTTGACTCAGATGACACGGTTTTTTCTCTCGCTCTCTCTCTCTCTCTGCTGACTACACCAGACACCATACTGTATATACTTTGGCCCTGATGCAGCAGCAGCAGAAGCAGCAGGGAAACTAAACACAGTGATGGAAATACATCTTTCACTGTGCTCAGCTGGCAGGAGTACCTGTGTCAAATTCTAATGTCTTTCTGAGAAAACTTTAATACTTCTGTGAAATCCTGAGGTTTTTTCCATTTTCATTAAAGTGTGGACGAGGCCACTTCAAGTCCAGATCTCTCACTCAGGTCAGATCTTTTTCAACGCACACTACTCCATGGAACTGGTACTTCATCAGACAGCTACATTTAAAGGATTATTCCACTGTAATAAATCTTTTACAACTTTCATCTTATTTTTGTAGTTTTGGATCTTTTCTATCAGTTAAAATGCCACTTTACTCACTGGAGTAATTGCATTTAAACAGACAGGTTGTAAATAGTTTCTGCAGATATTGTAAACCTCTTTCTTTGGAGGTCAAACTCAAAGTGAACACACCTGAAATGTTGGTAATAACTTCTGCTTTGACCCTGATGAAGGCCACAAGTCAAAATGTGATTGTTTCACAATAAAGTTGTTTTCCATATATCAAGTGTTGTTTTTGAATAAAGGGTCTGGGTTTGCTTTCAGATTTTTAGTCAATTAGTCACTTCTGTGGTCTTTTTAATGGGAATAAGTAATTGATTAATTACTAGAAACTGAAAGTCACATCTCAGATGTAGTAGTCACAAATATGCTTTGGTCCTTAACAGGGTTGTCCCCTCTATTCAAAACTGAATGTGTGGAAAATGCATTAAGCTGTAGGGGCTGCGTTCAAACTAATTTTAGAACAAACTTGAACTGCTTCAAGTAACAGCCCTCGTCTTTAATGAGCACAAGACTTCTCTGTGACTACATTCATCTGCAGGGTGACAATAACTCAAAAAAAAAGGAACCAATTTTTAAATTTTTCATCTAGCAATTATTTGAAAAACAAACAAAAACGATCCACTTTAGTCTTTTTCATGGCATTACAAACAGAACAGCTCTCCTGGAAATGAAACCTCAACTGACGAGGTCATCTGTTGAGCCCTGTAAGCTAGTGACTGGTCCAGTCACTCTGGAACCAACAACAGCGACGTGGAGGAGACTGGTGTGTTACTGGGCCTCGCATGTTCTCATAGAACCAGCGTCACATCCAGGTAACATTAACATCTGGCAAAAACGGGACAAGCCAAACTCTTCACATTCAAAACATCAAAGAAAAAGAAGCAAAATGAGAAGAAAGCGTTAAGTGGAACATCTGTGGTGAAACAGATCAGTGACTGCTTCAGAGTCTGTTCAGTGAGCTGGTGCTCAGTTCAGTCCGCTCTTACCTCTCCCCTCACTGTGACAGCAGCACAGGATCTTCACCTTGTGAAGCACCAGCGTGTCACCACCCCATCCATCCTCCTGTCTCGAGTCTCTGACTCCAAGCGCAAAAACAATCTCCACGAGTTGTACTTAACCTCTTCCACCCTCACACCCCAGAGTCTGTGTACATGCCATTGATCAGGTAATCCACCTGGGTGTAGTCCTTCCTCCTGTAGCTCTCGTAGGCCTGCGTGACGAACACAGCCACCGTGACCAAGAAGAAGAGCAGGCCGAAGAGCAGGACAGCCAGCAGAGATGCTGTATCCACCAGCTGGCTGGTCAGAGCACCACCTGCTACTTCTACCGCCGGTTGCCTCGGGAACGAGTCAACCGGCTCATTCTGATTGGCTGGAGAACTGGCACTGGTAGCAGTTACAGTAGATGGCCTTGTGGTCTGAGATGGTGGCATCCCAGTGCTGGGGGTGTTTGGCTGTGGCATGACAGTTGATGATGATGGAGGTGTCATCTTTGTAGCTGTGGTTGTGGTAGTGGCAACAGTTGCAGCACTTGTAAGAGTGGTTGTTGCTTTTACCGTTGTTGGAAGACGTGGTGGTGGTGTTGTTGCAGACATTAGTGTTGTTGTGGTTGTAGACGACGGTGTTGTTGTGGTTGTAGATGATGTTGTGGTTGTAGACGATGGTATTGTTGCGGTTGTAGACGATGTTGTGGTTGTAGACGATGGTGTTGTTGTGGTTGTAGACGTTGTTGTGATTGTAGACGGTGTTGTGGTTGTAGACAATGGTGTTGTTGTGGTTGGTGTTGTAGATGATGGCGCTGTTGTGGTTGTTGTAGATGATGGTGCTGTTGTGGTTGTTGTAGATGATGGTGCTGTTGTGGTTGTTGTTGTGGTTATAGAGGTCACCACTACAATGGCTGTGAGTACATTCCCATCAGGCCTGGCAGTGGTTGATGTATTAGTACCAGTGCTTGTGATGGCTCCAGTGTGAGCTGGAGTGGGTGAGCCTGTGATGGTAGGAGGAAGAGGATAGTCTGGTGGGATTAAGGATGATATGGTGGCTTTTAATTTGTGGTTGGCAGAGGTGTTGGTGTCAGATGAAGATGAGTTGGGAGAGGGCTGGTCCCTAGTCGCATTGACGGTTTGACTGGTGTTGTTAGGGTCTGAGACAAAGGACACATTCTCATGTGGTCTGACCACTTGCAGATCACTGGATATGGACCCTGAGGAATCCTTGGCTGTTGCATTTTGACTGACACCATCATTACCACCTGGGGAACAACAGATTGCATGAGTGACCAAGCTAAAAAAAAAATCGTAAATAATTCAGATCTGCCCCAAAATGTACCCATGACCCCTCCTTTTTGCGTAATCCTGCAAACAAACAAACAAACAAACAAACAAACAAACAAACAAACAGACACAGGTGAAAACATAACAGTAGAGGTGGTGGAGGTAATAAAACCAACAGCAATAAACATAAAATATGCAGCATCCGACACATCAGTTTTACTCCACACCCCCACATCTATCTATTATATATTCACTCGTGGCCATTTCACATCTGTCATGTCATAGGTTTTAATGTCCTGATACAGCCGGGGGCTCAGTACCATCTGCAGGAGGGTAGAAGCTGAGACTCACTGTGTAGCAGGTGGGTCGTCAGTGTCAGAACAGCCACATGCAAATATTACACATAGTGGGTTCATCCTCTCAGTCCTTCTTTAAAGATCATACATCGTTGTTATCCGCCTAGGACACTGATGTAACCTGCACTTTTTTTTTTGCACTGTTTTGGGTTTGTGAACACACTCCTGTGGCAAGGCATCTGTTGTTCAGTTTTGGACTTCATCTATGATGCTTTTGTACTTTGCCTAAAGGATGTATTGTTTGGCTTACTAGAAAACATTTTCAGAGTCTTTTTTCTTTTTTTAGTCTCTTCTTTAGAGTCCTACATTAGAACATTATCAACCTAATGTAATAGAAAATCTGTGAAAACCTTCAAATTTTGCTCCAAATTTAACATATTCATATATATATTATTAAAAAAAATCATTTTTACTGTACTGTTTTAAGTTTGTATTTGATTGTGTCAAACTTTGTATATAACCCCTGGCGCTGTGTATGTGTTTGTTTGTCTTTGTTTGTTATGTTACTACTGTTGGGCATTATTTTGTATCTCCAAAGTGATGATAAATAAAAAATAAAAATAAAAACAACAAAAAAAGAAGTAAGTATTTAATATGAAGTGAGATTAAATTCAATTTGAAATTTACCAGCAGGAAAATTCAGTTTAAGTGAAACAAACTATTACAAATATGTAATGAACATAAGAAGTTGAATGCATAGAGCAGCAGAGGAGAAAAGTAGTTCATGTCTGACAAGGTCTATCTGACTGAAAGGTTGCTTTTATAGTCATGGGAGCTAATTAACAGTGTGTGGATTATTTCTTTAAAGCTCCATATTTTCCTCTTCTCCTGTGTTTTATTTGAAGTGTTGATCCATAAGAAGATATAGTTGTGGTTTTAAGAACCAAAAACCATCTCAGTGTAGTTTTACATCTCCTCTCTCAGGCCTCTCTCTCAACAGGTCGGTGAGCCAATAAGAAGAGAGGAGGCTCTGAGCCTCTCCTCTGATTGGCTGACTGTTTTCTTAGTGATCCAATAAATGTGTGCATTTATCTGTGAACTGAGGCTTTGATACTTTCACACTATTAATATAGAACCTAGACCTGATCTATAATCAAACAACACATGGACATCTATCTACCTTTAGACTTTATAAATTCCTTTAAAGTCTTCACTACATATATTATATAATTCTGGACAGACATGGTTGAAAAATGCAACTTCACTGGTTGATGGAGGCATAAAACCATGAAGTAGTAAATCTAGTTTCAGCTGCACCACCATCATCCTCACTGAGAACCTAGACCGTCTTTATAATATAAGAAGACATGGACATCTACCTTTATACTATATGGATCTTTAAAGTAAGGCGGCAGGGGAACAGTTTATTTCCAGTTATCATCTGAGAGTGTGAAAGAGTTCATTGTCATTATGTATTTAGTGTAGTAATTTCTCTGTTTGTTAGAAGCTTTGTTTTAAAACCAGTGCTGAAATGAAAAGACTAGAACAACTATATTATTCTACTGTCCTGTTCTGTCGTCTATTTGTAACTCAGTAATATATCTCTGTCAGGATCCTGTAAGAATGATGATTCAGTTTTTCCAGTGATGTGATTGGTCAGTGGTTGGGCTGACAGGTTTTGATCTTAACCTGCTCCAGAGCAGGTTAACTTAAGCCCAAAAATAACTCGATACCACTCTAATCTTGCTTTCTGGTGAGACTCAAAAAGTAGCTGCTCCCTCACAAAGATCACAAGCTGCGGTCACCTTCAATTCATGTAGGAATAATACATTCCATTGGTTTTTACTGCAGATCAAAAGAACCACACATCTAAACTTCTCTAACCACTCGCTCAGTGTAATCCACAGTTTATCTATATGCTCAGTATCTTGTAAACACTCCCAGTTTTGCCAATATGGCTCTGTAAAAGACTCTGGCAAAACATCTTTGTTAGCTAACCGACTGGTCCAGACCCTTGAAAAACAGCATACATGCACAAGAAATTCAATTCAGTTCAATTCTGTAAGAATATTTGGTTGAGGCACAAACACCTGATTAGAAAATAAAAGTCAAATACATAAAAAAAACATCTCTCAACAGCAACACTACTGCAGAGCGTGTTCACATGCCCACTAGTGTCCTCTAAGTATCCCGGTCATGTGTTGTGCATGTAAACATCATGTCTTGATTTCAAAACCTGACGCCTGTACTATGAAGCAAGTTCAACATACCCAGGATAACTTTTCATTATCTGGCTTAAGTGAACCTAACACTGACCATCCTGATAACCTGCGCTGTGAAGCTGATTATCACCTGACTTCAGTAAACTCAGGGTTTACCTGTCCAGCTACGAGTGTGTTCATGTGGCAGAGGTGGAGTTGTTAATTACAAGCAACATCATCAGAACTATGAATAATGTATATGATATGAGAAGAAACACTGACACCTGCAGATTCATTCAGTTATAGTGACATCATAAAGTGATATTCAACAAGGTAAAATAAAGAATGACTAGAATAAAAAAGAAACACTAACTTGGGCTAAGGCAGAACATGAATTATCATTAAGTTGAGTATTTTCACTGTTCAGTCTGATGATGAACAAACTTATGAGATGCAGATAAAACAGTTAAAGTTAATGTCAAACCTTTTCAGCTGCAGAGAGGAGAGAAAGAAAGTAGCTGATGTCTGATGAGTCAGTCTGACTGAAATGTTCATTTATAACCATGGAAACAGTGAACAGTGTGTGGATCATTGTTGGTTTAGTTGCTATTTCTCCTCATGTTGTTCTGAGCTGCAGTGATGAAGAGGAGAGTAAAAGCTTCATCACTGTCAGGAATCCTGTCCATTAAATAATCTGTGTTCAGGTCAAATGAAGCTACAATAGTTATCATGTAGTTATTTAGTGATAAACTCTCCCCTGTTTGTTAGAGGCTCTGTTTTAAAACCAGAGTGACACATGGAAAGACTCAAACAGCAAAACCGTCCATTTATAAAAAAGTCTACTTGTTGTTATTATTTATCACTTTATTATAAACTCTTTTGTTCCTGGCGGGATTCTGTAGGAATGATCCACAGCAGGTTAGGAGTTCAGCATCAGTAACCATGGTGATTTACCCAGGTAACAAGTGAACCACCGCCATAGGACTGAAAACCGAGAGTTAAACTTGAAGTTACCTTAGATAACCTTAAATCCTGCTTCGTGGTAGAGACCTCTGGATAGGCCCTAATCCTGGTTGATAAACCTGGATATTAGCACTCAATGATATGCAATAATAATCATATTGCGATATGAGTCATTATTACAGTTGGAATGGTCATTTGTCACACGTGAACATGATTTGTGGGTTGGAGCGTCTATGTCACAGCCACAATGTTTCATTTATGGTCTCTGACACTTTTTACTTTAAACAAACAAATTGCAGCGTCTGTGATTTTGATTTTGCACTTGGCCATATTGAGATTTCAAGTTAGTAGTTCAATTAATTGTTCAGCCCTACTGGAGATGGCACCCGGAATACTCCAACTGAGATCACGAAGGTTTGGTAGGTAAACACCTTATCCTGGTTTCAGAGGAGTCTGACTGAGATGGTGAGAAATCAGGACACACCTGCAGGCAGACAATCAGAAACCTGGAAACTGTTATGATCATGTTTACAGGGATATGAATGACCTGTTTATCCTGTAAACAATCTAACACAGGATCGGATTTAAACACAAAAATTCTCAAATGCATGTAACCTCAGTGACAGAACTCAGAGCTCTCTCAGATAGCACGGGTCAGTGGCTTTGCTGCCTTGAAGCAGAGCCTGCAGGCTTGGACAGGTGATTGAATATTATAGTGTGGCAGTGATGACTGGCGTGAACCTGGTGAGGAAACAAGTCTTTGTTGACACAATAATCTCCCTGTGTGTGGAAAAAAGAATCAGACTTCACTAACAGTGTTGACTTTGGCGCCACCTTGTGCTAGTAACAAAGAAAGACACTGGCTGAAAGCAACACACTCAGTCTCATCATGACCGTCATCAGAATATTTTGAAATAACTTATATTCACAGATAGATTCCACACACAGGAGCTCTGTATGTTAATCTTATCTACTAACACAATCACAATGCTGATGGAAGATGACACTTACTGGACATCTGTCCTTCAGAAAATAATCTCTCTCTTGTATTGAATGAAGGGCTTCATCTGTGTAGACCACCAGGCTCCATGCACACTAAAACATTTTAGTTTTAAAGCGCATCACTTTTGCTTTTGTTTTCACCTGCTGTCCATTCTCTATTTTAATTCTACAACTGTCTTTGTTGTTCCTCGTTCAGAGTATTTTCTGTAACTAATCAAATGCAGAATAGACAATCTACTTCCTGTTTACACCGGCTCACACAGTGTATGAGAATGCTCATATGTAGGGCTGCACATTTAATCAAAATATAAGGCCAAGTATCTGGAAAAGATTTTGAAATTTCCAATCCCTACACACCCTACTTTGTTACTGTTTAATGATGATTCTTCCCTTAGGGATAACACCAGGTTAGCGCTTAGGAAGATCATATTTGCAGGTTTAACTGCTGCCAAGAAGACAATTATACACTCAGTTTGAAAAAAAATCTTCTCCTATTCAAAAGCTCACGTTGCGTAAAACAGACCCTCTACTCACCACGACCCCCTCGTAAACATGGTGACCACACAGAAGAGTTTCATCTTCAGAAATGAGAACAAGGCAGACCTACATCCAGTCACTCATATGGCAGTTAGTGTGGGGAATATAATTAAAGCATGATACAATCTGATCATGTGTTATACACTGGTTTAGTGTTGCAGTGGTGATATCAAGTGGTGAAATCAACAACGCTGAACTATAAATTAAAACCTACACCAGAGGAATCCACGGTGGCCCTGAGAGCTCAACACAATGCAGAAAACAGAGGAACCTGCTGGGACGCACTTGTTGTTCAGTGCTTTTAACTTCAAAAGTCACATTTTGGCATTGAACAACAAGTTCCAGCCAGGTTCTTCACTTCTTAGTGTCCCATGGAAACTCTTCTGTTGTGTTGTGAGTATTTGTAGCACATGTGTTGTCAAACTGATGAAGATGTTCTGGATTCGTTTGTGTTTTATCTATTTGCATGTGTTTTCTTGCACGTCAAGTAGGAATGCAGCTTGAATACTGAAAATGTGACTTCAGTTTTTAAACAAGCTGTCAGTTACCAGCTTTTGCTTAGGAATGAAAAACAGGGACATCTTTGCATAGTGGAACAATTAACATCTGTACATATTTACATTTGTGACTTTTATCAGTGCTAGCATGTAGCTGCTGAACGTCTATATCCTGGCTCATACTCACATGCAGTGGAACAGTTAGCTTGTGCTGTGTTATGCTGGGTCAGGGGCTCACCTGCAGCTGGAACTGGGACATCTTTTGATACTCTGGAGGAGGAGGAGTCAGTGAGGAGCAGCAGCAGGCAGAGGAGGTGAAGACACACCAAAGGACTCAGGTGAAATGTCAAAGGATGTACGGACATGGTGGACACACACATACACACACACACACACACATACACTACCTAACAGCTACACACATACACAGGCCTAGACTGAATTCACACACATACATGCGCACGCTCGACAGGTACAGTCAAGTGCACGCAATCAACTTGCACACACAAGGAGGAGGATGGAGACCAGGAGGAAGTGACAGCAGCATCCGCTTTTTCAACCTACAAAAGACAATAACACCAACACAAGCACATGTCAACAGCAGCCATTAGAACAGGAATTGGTTTCACTACAACTCAGTGTTTTTTTAAAAATCCACTTGCAGTGACGTGAAACTTGTTTGAGACAGATAAAGCATCAAATCAACATTGAGACACTTTATACAACAATATAATATCATAAAATGTCATGTAAAATGAAATGATACTAGTCTAGTGATATTATGACAATATGATGTGTATTATTATTGATATACTTTATATAATATATTCATTTTAAATATATTGTTATAATAATGTATATTGTTATATTACATAATATAACAACATTTTGTTAAATAGTGATGAGTGGTGCCAGAGGCCACAGCAGAACATAGTGGTAACCCTATTCGACCTCACCACCAGGTCAGGCTCAGGCACATGGGACAGTGTTGCGAAACAAATTGTACTGGAAGCTACAAAGATTTGATCTATGATCCAGTCGAAGGCATCAAGTATTCACATATTTGTACACATTCACATATTTTAATTTGTAGGTTAGAGCCTTTCTCTAAGCCTGAGAGAAAGGCTTATGGTTCAAAGATACAAATCTGTGTTCACACCTCATCACAGGAGCTAGACTACCAACTTAATAACACTAATTACACATTGCATTCACTATGAAGTGTAAAAAAATGCAGCAAGTCCAACACAGGCCAGATGTGAGGAAAGACTACCATCTAGTGTCAGAACAATGAAAGTGTAAGTTAGAGCAGTAGAAGACGCAGCACCTCACTAATGTTCACTTTATCCAACAAGACTGAAGCCTTTCATAGAAAGAAATTCACGGTGGCCGATGAGGGCAAACGTGCCTCAACATCCCAAAACACTTCCAACAGGAGAAACAAGCTGCAAATTCATAAACAGATTCAACATGCAGATTCAAAAAACACATACAACAACAGCAACATGCTACAAAGGAAAAACGTGCTGCAGGAAGCCTAAACAAAAACATTAACAACAAACATGCTGTAAATACAGAAACGATGCAACAACAAAAAACACACAAACCCCCAAAACAAATGCAACAGAAAAAACACTGCATATTCAGGCATCACAACGGAAGTGCTCCAGGCCTCTAGGGGGAGCACTAAGTGGAACACCTTGACCGTAAGCTCGAGCTCTCTTATTGGAAGTGTTTTGGGCTGTTGCAGCGCGTTTGCCCTTGTCGGCCACTGTAGAAATCACTTTACAGAGTTGTTTTACTCCAGGATCAAGTTGTGGAAGAGTACTTCTTCTTCTGAAAGGTCAATGCCAACTGGAAATAAAAACCACTTCATTTCAGGCTTTCACTGTAATCCAAACAAAATGATGCACTAAATAATGCAAGTACTAAGTGTAATAATCTGATATGTGTTTAAATACAGAATTCAATTTGTACATTTGCTGAATAAATTCGCCATGATGAGAAAGCCTTTGGCGGTCAGTTTTCATTTCTCCTCACAGGCAAGTCAGAACTGGAGGCATATTGTTTTCAGGTTGTCCGTCCTTTCCATTCTCTTGAACACGATATCTCCGTAACGCCTTGAGGGACATCAAGACTCAAGGATGAACTGATTAGATTTTGGTGGTCAAAGGTAAAAGGTCAAAGGTCACGGTGACCTCACAAAAATGATTTTGGCCTTGTGAACACAATATCTCCGTAAAACCTTGAAGGAACTTCTTCAAATTTGATAAAAACATTCACCTGGACTCAAGACGAACTGATTAGATTTTGGTGGCTAAAGGTCAAAGGTCAATGATCAGTGTGGCCACACAAAACATGATTTTGGCCTTGTGAATGCAATATCTTGAGATATCCTTAAGGGAATCCCTTCACATTTTGCATAAATGTTCATTTGGACTCAATGAGAAACTGATTAGATTTTGATAGTCAAAGGTCAAGGTCATTGTGATCTCACAAAACACATTTTAGCCATTACTCAAGACTTCACACAGCAATTATGACAAAATTTCACACAAATGGTTCATATTATATATGACTCTGGATAAACAGGGATGCAATCTGAAACTAGTCTGAGTGGAGGAGGCAGAAAACCATGAGGTGATTGTAGTTTTTCCCTCCTTTTGTTATGGTAAAAACAAAATATCTCCACCTTTAAACCATTTTGATTTTCTAAGGAACAATCCGGTGTTTTTGCATACAAAAGCTGTGGTTGTTGATTGTACTGAAACATTTTCAAGTCTCTGGACTTTAGTTCAAATTCTACTGCAGCACCTGCTTGGAATCCCCAGCTACACTCCTTTAACAGGCCTTGAACTGGTGTCAGAGCTGAACAACATAATAACTAACATGTGTCTGTGGTGAAAGAAATTGTTGTCTGTCACTGTGAGAAAAAACTTGTGTTTTTAATGTAATTAAAGTTGGACCAAAAAAGGTGTGTTTCTGATTCTCCAAAAATACAAGAATTCATCATTTTTAGGAGCCCCAACTAAAAATGGTTATCAGATATTAGCCTTCAAATGAGGTGAGGGGAGGTCAATGAGGTGTTCCTCACAAAAAGTGGAATCTGAGTCTCTGTAATGATCTTACATTACAGAAGTTACCCATTCAATATGAAAACCCATCATCATTAAAGTTAGTGGGGTCTCGCAGCTGGACCACGAGTTAAAGCAGAAAAGTAGAAAGAAAAATGCCAGAATTAGAAAATACAGTCATGGGCACAAGCAACACAGCCACAGCCTTGGGGTATAGCCACTCATCACCTGCTTTCACGGAAAATCTACCTGTACAACCAACCACTACAACACATGGAGATATTACAGGAAATGACATGAGCAGCCTGTTACCTGTTCAGGAGAAGTACAACAACTTCTGTCCATCTAATAGCACATTATATTGACACATGTCCATCTGAGCCACGCATCTGCAATAGGATCTCTCTCTCTCTCTCTCTCTCTCTCTCTCTCTGAAAGACTGGATCTTCTAAAGTTTGAAAAAAGAACCAGTAGGAGGTGTAGGACTCTGGTTTACTGTCAGACCACTTCAGTTACAATATGCTGAGAGGTGATGATGGAGTTTTTTCCCAGGGACACCAAAGAATTACTGCCTACACAGGCTTTAACGGGGACGGGCTTCATTCAGCTTTAGTACAAACACTCTGCACAACGACCTGCCCTAAAAGTAAACGGAGTATTCAAAGGTCATTAACGTTGCCTACGTGGAGGGAGACACACAAACCAGGATGTCTGCGGAGTCAGCACTGAAGTTAGAAAGCCTCAAAACCAAACTCCATTCAAACAGTACGGCTGTTTAACGTTGCCACCGGCACTCCACGGAACATGACTATAGGGCATCCACTTAAATACACATCAACACTTAACTAAACCCAGAGGCGGCGAGCACTGGGAACCTTTGACAGAAGCTACGAGTTAATGTTCAGTTCAACACTGAGCAGAGCACGGCTCACAATACATGTCAATAAGGCAGAAAAGTAGTGACACTGGGCCAAGACAAAGTCACCAGCATTAGTTCAGACCGGTAATCCCAAAGTTTAGCTCATATTCGACGAACACAGTAACAGGAAGTAACGTGTAAGCAGTTAAAACTCAAACTGCCAAAAACGTTATCGACTGAACTAATGTTAAAGATGCTACAGCTAGTTAACATGCCAGTAAATAGGGTGGATATGTCATGAGTTAACGTTAAACGGTGAACAGACATCTTCCCCTCACAGTTAACATCCACACTTTAGCCTAGCTAATGATAACAAGCCATATTCGCTAAGGTGGGTTATCTAGTAAGCTAATGTAACCGCTAGCATGCTAACTACAGTTATGTGATTTCGTAGACTTACCGGCGATCTGCTGTGGTACGTTTATTGAACACAACAGGCGCAGACAGGTATCCACGGGGAGCTCAACACTTCCTGGATGTAGGTGAGTGTCTTCTTCTTCACCTGTATTTCTGGCAGCGTGGACTCATCCTCCGTGTATTCTGCCCTCTGCAGTCCCACCGAACTAAAACACGACGACATTAAACAGCCTGCTCTTGCTGCTGTTTGCCATGAGGGGTGGAAGTAAGAAAAATTAATTGATAAAATGTAGCTGATGAAAGTGCAAATGGATTACAAAATAGAGTGATAAATTGTCAATTGGTTTGATAAACTTGATTGACATTTTATTGTGAAATAGTGTTTACAACAAGCAATTTATTTCAAATCAGCATTTCATCACTTCCATTTTTTTCAATTATTTTTGTTACTTCCACTTTCCTGAAGTGACTAATGTAGCCATTAGATCAGGGGTTCCCAACCTTTTCCAACTCATGGCCCACTTGAAAATAGATCAGTACTGACGGCCCACCCCGAACGGAGACCATATAATACGTTCTCAGAGCACTTTTTATTAAAATTATAACGATTGAACGTTCATGACTTTCTTTCTTGTTTAAGGGTGATAGATAACTTGTCAGTTCACCACCTGGCTCTCTTTCCTTTTAACTCTTCCTGTTACTAACCAGCTATCCTTTTTGATTTTCCAGTTTTGCCATGGATGCAATCTTGCAGCACATTCAGAATGAGATAGCAAAAGTATAAAATGTGACACTACGGGTCTCTAGCCTTGTTAATGAGGCCAACTGCAGTGGCAAACATGATTGGACGATTGGATAATTGCATGAAAAGAAAGTGCACAGTTGTTCCTCTTAAAATGCCAGTGAGTGTACTTCGCTGACCCACAGAGACAGGTGATCAGTCCGTGAGATAAGTGAACGCTTCACTGATGATCCACTAGGGGGGTCATTATCTCAGAGGTTCAACTGTTCAACCAACAACACATTTCTACTTAAAATTGTATTAAAATGTTGTTGTAGACTTGCATTTGAATTTTATCCTCTCACTGTTTTACCTCTTCACTTTTTCCTTGTTTTGTTTGTGTCCAAGCTCTTTAAATGAACCTGTGTGAACTGTGCTACATAAATGAAGCTGCCTAACCTGAGTACATAATGGGCCTACTATTAAAATAAATGTGACTATGGAATGACTACTACAGCCATCACTGTCACACAGGTCATATCTAAAAAACCAACAGTTACATGAGCCTCTAAGTTCTCTGAAGTCCTTTTGCTCTTGACATATGACATGTATCACTGTAAGCTGAAAACAATTTTCACATTTTCAACCCTAAAAGTAAAAAATCTAAACTGCAATATTTCTAAATGGTGTGTGTTGATACCTAAAACAAAGTCCTGGACCAAAGTTAGCTGTAGCACTGTTGCTGTTGCTGTCTGCCTCTGACTCCACAGCCACACCTTCTCCACCTGCTATTATTGGTTAACATTGGTGGAGGCGTGCTGACGTAAGAACACGTGATATTTGTTTTACATTTACTCATCTGTCAGATGCTTTTATTCAAAGTGACTTCACCGAAGCTTCAGAGCAGTCGAGCCCTTGGTGTAAGAACTAAGTACTACATCTATTTAATAAGTGAAGAAGATCAGGTGAAGTTCACAGTAGGAGCCAGTTAGACATGTGAGAGTGTTAGAGGTGTTAGGAGAGGAGGTGCTCTGTGAAGAGAGTCTTCAACAGACTCTTGAAGACAGAGAGGGACGCTCCTGCTCTGATAGACATGGGTAGACCAGACCAGACCAGACCAGTCTGGACTGAGACTGTCTTGTGTGCAGGATGGTGATGACAGACCACATTCATCAGAGGAACACAGTGTCTGAGAAGGAATGATTAAGGTCAACTAGATGGATCAGACCCAGATGTCTCTCTGAAGGCAGCATTAGAGACTGAATCAGATTCAGGCAGTGATGGGTAGCCAGTGGAGGTCGATGAGTGGCAGGGTGACATGTGACCTACAAGACTGGCTGAAGACCAGACAGGATGCTGCATTCTGGACCATCTGTAAGGGTTTCACTGTGCACTGTGTTCCTCATTCTTCTTCTTTTTTGTGTTATAATTATGAATGCAAAACCTCAATGCCATTCTATCTTTTCTGTTACACACACACACACACACACACACACACACACACACACACACACACACACACACACACATTTCATCATTATTATTATTTCTCTCATGTGTTTGTTTTTATTCTCTGTTATGTGTTTGGTCCAATCTGACTCACTTTAAGCGTCTCTTCACTTGTTCTGTAATCACTTAATAAAGAAAAAAACTATGTCGGCTACATGACTAATTATTTTACCTGTCTGGCTCTTTTATAATCTACCATTAAAAGGTGTCTGCGGCTCCATGAGGCGCGTCAGTGTGTCCGGCAGCTGCGCGCTGGAGGAAACTGTTTCCAGCAGCTGAAGGCAGAGGGTGAACTGAGGACGCGTCCCGCGCTCAACGGTCACGGTGTCATTTACCCGGAGGTGACACGGCCAATCAAATTCCGACGTAGCTGCGGGCTTACGAGCAGTCTCTCTCTCTCTCTCTCTCTCTCTCTCTCTCACACACACACACACACACACAAACACAGACACACACACACACACACACACACACACACTGAGACACGCGCACACACATTCCGTCTGGTGGCTCGTAGAGAAAAAGTGAAAGTGAGGCCAGCGGTGTCATTGTCGATAGAGCTGCTGGTTGTGTTGTCCCTGTCTTCCTCCAGCACCGAACCGTCGCTATGTCTCTGCTCACCGTGTCCCGATTGTTCAAGAGTGCGCTGAGGACTCAGCTGGTCTCCGCGGCTCATCTGTCGTCCAAACCTGCCAAACACAATGTCACTGCAGGGGTGAGTTCATGTTCCCTCCACTGACCTAACATGACCTCAGCAGGTAGCCTACTCCCATCCGACAGAGGCTGCAGATCCTCCCGCAACAGGCTGCGCTCCACACCGGTCAGCGGTCAGCGGCCGCGCTCATTGTTCCGCGGCACAGCGCATCTTGGCCCGATGTGACGGAGCAGGTCCTGCCCGCAGCCTGAACTGCGTCAAACTTTAAAGATTATTACTTCTCCCATTCTACAAATATTTATTATTTATTTACATGAAATTTTGAATATTGTATATATATTATTTTCCCTGCACAATGCTGATATCGAAAACTTATCAAACGAATTTATTTTTAACCCTTTCGATAAGTGCGTCAGTATCTCGCCATTATTCCGCCTTATTCCAACACGTAGACCTCTCTGCCAGCCCAGATATAACCACCGGCTATAGACTGCATATATACACACCACATTACCCACAGCCGAACAATGCTAAGAGTTTATTATTTCACTGTGTTTGACACAGCAGTGCAGGAGTTTAATGCACTTTGTGTGACTGTGAGTGCAACAGTGTGAAGTCGCTGTGTGAACACATGTGTCCCGTTGAGCAGCTGCCAACTTACTGACCTTGCTGCTGGTCAAAGTCAGACGGAGTTGACCTGAACCGATTTAAAATCAAAGATTAATAATGGTGGTATTTAGGGAGCGACAACGTATTTTCTGCTCAGCTCACATTGTCAGTCACAGAGATGATTAATGATTAGCTCGGCTACATTTAGCTCAGCAGGCTCACAGAGGGAATGGCTTAATAATAAATCGAGGACATTTTAATGGAACTATAACAGATGAAGCTACAGATTCAACTCACTTACGCTTTAACTACGAGACCCAGGGAAGTTACAAGTAGAAAACCAAAGTGAGCAGAAACCTCACATTTCTCTCAGTTATTGCTTTAGGTCCTCTGTCAGCAGTTACACTCTTATACTGCATGTTTACATATTTAAAAGTATTCAGTGTTTTTATTTTGTGCGTGTTTCATTGGTGTTTGTGTTCTCTGCTGTAAGGTAACAGCAGTGCTGTTTTACTGGAGCGTGCTTGTTTGAAATGTTTGTACTTTGTGAAGCTGTGTAATAAAGAGTGTTGTTGTTGCTACAGATACATTATCTTGCTTGATACCAGTATTGGTTTGTTCACCTCTGCTCATTTGTGTGAAAAGATGCCGCCTTCTTTGGTAAAAAGCTCTTTGTTGTTCTTTCATTAGATACTTTCTGTTCTACAGCAGGAAGTCTTACAGTTACCTACAGTGTACTGTTATTAACTTATATACAGACTGATTTGGGATATTTATGACTAACATGTTTCACATAAACAAACAAATTAGAAAAATGAAAGCACATATGCAGCCTGCAGCAGGATGTAACAACATATAAACCAATGCTGATCTACATACAGTATCTGTTTTAAAGGCACCCTGTAAAGTCTTCTTGTAAACAACATTAACATTCAGTGTTTCTCACCAAAACATGTGGAATGTGTTTTCTTCCTCTTAAAACATTTGAGAAGTTGATTTTTGATGTGTATGTGTGTCCTTGTGTGTGAGATACTAACAAAACGATGCTGCTCCACAGCGCCACCTGTGGATAAAAACTCCACAGTGTGCCTTTGAACCCAGAGCACTGACTCTGTGGTGACATACTGTATCTGCTGATACATCCTTCAGTCCAAGTTCATTTTCAAGGTGATGGTGACCTCATGTTCTTGTGAATGCAATGTATCAGGAATGCCCAGAGGTTGCTCAAAAGTCAAAGGTCAAGGTCACCATGACTTCACAAAACACGTTTTTGCTCATAACTCATTACTTCATTCACTAATTCTGACACAGTTTAACTCAAATGTCTATAAGGATTAAATGAAGTGATCACATTTTATAGCCAAAAGGTAAAAGGTTAACTTCACTGTGACATCATAATGATCTGTAAAAACACTCATGCTGTAACTAAGGAAGGAGAGACTATGACCATATTTCCTGATAATTTAGATAGATAGATAGATAGATAGATAGATAGATAGATAGATAGATAGATAGATAGATAGATAGATAGATAGATAGATTGGTTGGTGAAGGAAGCAAACACGGGCGATTATTCTAGTTTTTGTTGTGTTTTCTGCCAAAGACAACAGCAGCCTTCTACTTTATAAGACCAGGGCTAGAAAACAGCAAACACTATTCTCAATCACAAAATAAAGACAAAATAAAGAAAAAAAGAATCTTTCTTTTTTAATTGTTTATTTATTTCATTTTATATTGTAGAATATATTGTACTTGCTCAGTTGCTGGATTAATGTTTTATTTTATTTACTTATCTACTTACTCTGTAAGTGGGTGTGGTGGGGTTGTATGTGTTTTTGTATGCTTATCATTTAAAACAGCAATAAACAGATTTTAAAAAAGTTTAGAGGACGAATGTTTGTCACATGTCTAATCTGCTGGTCATCATTAACTGGTTTAAATATGACGGAAAGGATGAAACCATTTTTTCTCCTTCTGTGGTGTTCTGGGACTAATGTGTGTACACTATATTTAACATTCTATAATTATTTATTATTATTATCATTATTAGTCTCATATGAAGTCTAGTAACATAAGTTCAAACACCTCTTTGTGTCTTTGTGTCCCGCAGGAGCAAGCAATAGCTATGACAACCCTGATGATGACCATCCTGGGCCCCTCCGGCTGGATACTGGCTCACCTGGAGGACTACAAGAAGAAGTAGAAGAAGGAGAAGAGAGGATCAGTCCGGTCCAGATGAAGACGCCGGCCAGTCAGCCCAGTCCCCCTCCTCGGCTGCTGAGATGAGAGCTCAGTTTTCTGCTTGTTTCCAGCTGACCTGTGATAATGTACATCTGTGCACCTGTAAACCTCTCACCAATAAATACATAGGAATACACAGGAGACTGGGCTCAGTGTGTGTGACGTCTGATTGATGACACTGATAAGGAATACAGTGCTGCAACTACAGATTTTCATGATCGAGTCATGTTGATGTATTTATTTGATTAAATATTTAGCGCACAGCATGTCAGAAAATACTGACAAACAAGGTGACATTTTGAAATAACTTTTGTCTGCCCAACAGTCGCGAAGCCAAAGACACTCAGTCTACAATAATGTGAATCAGAGACAAGCAGCCAATCCTCAGACTGAGAAGCTGGAACCAGTGAATGTCTGATTGTCTCTAAAGACTGATATCTCCACATAGTTAGGGTTTAGTTTTCTGCCAATCAGCTAATGGATTAATCAACTAATTGTTTCCACACTAGAGGCATAATTTGTGTAGTATGCCCATTGTGCAAAACATTACAATAGTACTTTGATGGGTGTGATCTTAGATTGCTGTTTTGTAATGCTACATTCAGAGGGGTTTTGGTGTGTTTTAGTTTGCATTACAGCACATTTATTATTAATACAACCATTTACTGGCTCTGTAAGATAAAAAGCTTCTGGTTAATACAGGTACAAAAGAAGGGAGGTGTGTAACTCCCTATCATTTCTTTTCTGGAGAGAACAATATTCATTCAGTCTTCTTTTATTTTTAGAAACTGCTTTGAATTGGATAACTAAAAGACAAGTTACACTGGTAATTCATTGTCGTAAGTAAGTATTGAACACGTTATTTACTCTCTGTGTGATACCAAATCACAAGGTTTATTCTCAAATCCCATTTTTGGAATATTTAATCTCCCACCAGGCTGCTGAGGCCTGCAGGTTAGTAGAAACAACAGAGAGGACATGACCTCAGAGTCCTCAGCTGTGTCCCAATGTGAAGGAAGCGTCATGAAACTGTTATGAAAATGATCAAATAATTGAGCCTATGTGAACAACAGGAGCAGCTACAAACTGACTGATGGCTGATTGAAAGCTTGTGTTGTAGAAATGCTTGTGTAGATTAGATTGTGGATTAGGGTTAAATAAACACATTTCACTCAGTTCCTCCTCCTCTTTAGATCCAGCTGCTAATTGGTCATTTAACACCCTGAGGGGCTGTGAGGTGAATGTAAAGTCTCTAGAACTGAGCTTTTCTTCTTCTCGTCGGTTTTCTTGTTCTATTGTAAACTTTATACTGGTCATTTTCATGTTAAGCTATTAATAATAACCACAATGGTGCAGCAGTTATATAAATAAACTAGTGTTGTAACTGATTAACATCACTTAACATGGTTACACATGTTCATATACTGAGTGTGATGCTGGTCCAGAGAACATGAACACGATGAGTGATTACTGCCCTCTAGTGGTCAGAAGGAGTAAGTAAAACACAGTCATTCAGAAATGATCACTGCTATCAGACTATTATTGTTATTAACCTTTATTTAGACAGGGGGGTCCATGGAGACCCAGGTCTCATAACTCAATGGTTACATACAAAGAATTTGTTTCATAAAAACAACATAAAACAGTCAAACATTCGGTCGTTCATAAAACAATGTAAAACAGTCAATACAAAAACACCCAATCTCAACAGTATCTTATCAATTAATAGCAAAAAATAATAATAAAAAACTTAAAATTTATGTTAAAAATTATACAAAACATTTACAGCCCTCAACAACAGACTCAAATAACAAATAACAAATCTTTAAAAGTGCCAGAAGAGACTATGTTATTTACCTTAACTGTCTCTTGAAGGAGCCAATCCCAGCTGACATTACACCTGGACAGGTCGTCAGTCAATCACAGGGCTGACACACAGAGACAACTACTCACACTCACATTCACACCTACAGGCAATTTAGAGTCACTAATGAACCTGACCTGCAAGTCTTAGGACTGTGTGAGGAAGCTGGAGCACTCAGAGAGAAACCACACAGACACAGGGAGAACATCCAAACTCCACACAGAAAGGTCCCAGCAGGTTCCGACCCAGAACCTTGTTTCTGTGAGGCCACAGTGGTATTTATACTTTTTCCCAAAAGTGGTAGAAAAAAATTTCACTTCACCTCTCAGGGTTGTTTATACAGATGAAAAAAAAAAAACGTAGAAAATCATCCTGACAAAAAACATCACTTGCCTTCAGGGCTACCGTAGTTCTTATACTACAGTAATATTTTCATCTCACGATTAGAAAACAGTTAATTATGAGACGATAGAACAATTATTCTCTGATGATCCCATTACCACCCCACTGACGACAGGTTCACCATATTTCAAAGCGCTTGTCTTTCTTAAAGGCTGTTCTGTCCACGATGTTGTTGCCAAAGAGTCTAGACAGAAAACAAAGCAGAGAGAGAAATGTCATCAGCCACAATAATATGTCTCACAGTTTAATTCAACTATTCTGAGGTCATGAAGGGTTTCTCTGGAAGCTCTTTATAACTGAATGGTGCACTAATTGATGCATGCTCACCGCACAGTGTCCATGGAGGGGTTGATGGAGAGCAGCTGCAGTAACTTGTCCGTTGAAACATCCGTGATGTTGTTGTGACTCAAACTGTAACGTGCACACAAACACAGACAGTGACACACAGGTACATTTCTTACTGGGTGTCGGCAGCAGAGGCAAATGAAGCAAGGAGAGAAAACATTTTCAGTTGTGTTTGTTTCTCCTCAGAGTGACTGATCTATCTATCTATCTATCTATCTATCTATCTCCACTGTTGTTTTATTACCTCCTCCACCACCTAGACTACAGCTGACACTGCATTATATACAGCGCTGACACATGAAGACATGTGTCTTCATAGTGAGACACTCACTCGAGGGCTTGGACTTTGTGCAGATGTGTGATGAGTGTGAGCAGCAGCTGGTCAGTGATCTGACAGTGACTGAGGTCCAGCTCCGTCAGTCCTTCAGACAAGTCCAGCGTCACAGCCAGAGCTCCGCAGGCCCGCTCATCCAGTGTGGTGTGACTGAGGTCCAGGCCTCCACCCAGGGCTCTACACAGGGACACCGCCCGTCTCACTGTGTCCCTCTCAGTGTTCACAGAAACCAGGGACAGCAGCTGGAGGAGGACGGCTTTACTGGCTCTACACAGAAGAAACAAAGAGCAGGCTGTCACGATGCATGAACATGAAAGTGAACAAGCTTCTGGTTTAGCTCATTGTGTGTCTCACTCACCTGAAGCAGACTCTGTCTAGGACAGGAAACAGCAGCTCCAGTCCTCTGTCCTCCACCTCGCAGTCTCGCAGGTCCAGCTGTGTGTCCTGGCTGCTGTGTCTCAGGATGGTGGAGATGGCCCTGCAGTCACCAGCAGTCAGGCACAGAGTCTCAGTCTGACCCTCCTCTCGCAGGTCCACACAGGAAGAGCAGGACAGATCCAACCTGTGCTGTGTAACCCTGAACAGGCCTGATGCTGCCTCCTGCTGGACGTCACAGGCAGCACAGCAGTGGATCAACCTCAGCAGCAGATTCCTGTCAACACTGGCAGTGAAGATGATGCAGAAAAATACCAAATTTAATATTTATAAATTATCTTCATTAATCAGTTACTAATATGACCTTCAAATACACTAATATCCTAAAGACACTGTATATAATTCATTCATCCATTTTCTACCGCTTATCCTCTAGTAGGGTCGCGGGGGGGGAGCCTATCCCAGCATCCTTGCGGGCGAGAGGCGGGGTACACCCTGGACAGGTCGCTAGTCCATCGCAGGGCACACAGAGACAGACAACCATTCACTCTCACATTCATACCTATACCTCATACCTACCAATCAGCCTAGTCCCCATTTGCATGTCTTTGGACTGTGGGAGGAAGCCGGAGTACCCGGAGAGAACCCACACAGGCACGGGGAGAACATGCAAACTCCACACAGAAAGACCCTGTGTCCGAGCCGGGACTCGAACCCGGAACCTTCTTGCTGTGAGGCGACAGCGCTAACCACTGCACCACCATATATAATATTTATTCAAAAGAAAATGGCATGTTTTAAAAAGTTATTTTGATGTTTTCTCCATCAATTTATATTAACATTCTACCCATCAAGGTAACATCTGGGATCACAGAGGCATCAGTGAAAATCAATCTGACAGGTAAAGAAACACAAGCAGATAATCAGACAGTAGCGAACAAACCCTCAGATGAGCCAAACACATCTGGATGTTGTTGAGCTCTGAAGTTGACTGTGTGGATATTATTCAGTCTCAAAACGCTAGAGAAACATCATTACATGATGGCTTTGAGATTGGACGTGAAGGTGCTGTAGATGAAAAAAGACTCAGTATATATTATGATTACACATTAACATGTTTGTTGTCTACAGGTCCTTGTATATAATATAATATAATATACCAGTACCAGTGAAAAGTTTGGACACGCCTTCCCAATTATAGGTTTTTCTGTATTGTTTTCTATTCTATTGTAGAACTGAACATCAGAACTATGGAAAAACACATGTGGAGTTATGTAGTAAACAAAAAAAATACATTTCATACTTTAGATTCTTTTTTTGGACCTTGATGACAGTTTAACCAGCTTATCTTAACGAGTGTCATGAGGTCATCCCCTGGAGTGATTGTCCATTAAGAGCTGTGTCTTGTCAAGAGTTAATTGGTGGAATTTCTTGTTTTCATGTGTTTGAGATCATCAGTTGTGTTGTGGTAGTGTTGGTACACAGTAAACAGCTCTATTGGACATCTGCACTGATACATATTATGTCAAGAACTGATCAAGTGGAACAACATCCATCATTACTTTGAGACATGAAGCTCAGTCAGAACTTGTATCTTGTATGTATGTATCTTCAAGTGCAGTTGTACAAACCATCAAACACTGTGATGAAACTGGCTGTGATGAGGACCACGTGATGGTGTGGGGGGGCTTTGCTTCTAATGCTGTATGAGATTTATACAAACTTGAAGGCACATTTAACCAGCATCACTACCACAGCCTTCTGCAGCCACGTACCATCCCATCTGCTTTGTGCTTAGTGGGATCACCATTTCTTTTTCAACAGGACTCAGGGCTCTAACTTCCACCCGGCACAAAGCACAACACAAGTGTCTTTGCTAGTTTCAGACCGATACAGTCATTTTCCCGTCCATCACCCATGTTGTTTAAATAGCAAATAACACTTGCTCCCATCTGAGCGCCCATGGGTGGGTTGGTCTTAGAATGAATTGAGGTCAGGAGCAGCGCTGGTGCACTGTTATCTTGAGGCAGTGGAAAGTGACAATGATTCACTCACACCTTCTTTGTCCCTCAGAATCACAGAGCTGCTGCCTGTGTCATGACTGGGCTCACTGGTCAAGGATGGACTCACTCATCAGGACTGGTCTGTTNCCCATGTTGTTTAAATAGCAAATAACACTTGCTCCCATCTCCCATGGCACTCACACCTTCTTTGTCCCTCAGAGTCACAGAGCTGCTGCATGTGTCAGGACTGGACTCATTGGTCCAGTCTAACTGTCTAAGAATCTAACTGTGTGAAACACCTGCNTCAGGACTGGGCTCACTGGTCAGGACTGGACTCACTGGTCCAGTCCTGACCAGTGAGTCCAGTCCGACCAGATTCTACAAACAGAATCTAACTGTATGAAACACCTGTGCCTGCGTTTTAAAGGAAATGGGAGATGGCACTGTGATTGGTTTATTGGATTTTACACCCTAAACACTCCCATTATTAATTAAGAGACTAAGTAGAACCCTTTGAACCATGTGTCTGGTAACATGGACACGCCCTAAATGCACTTGAACCATGTGCTTTGGACTGTTAAAGCCCAATGGGCCAAAACACATCTCCAGGCTGTGTAAGGCTTATATACCATAAAGGAGAGTGAAGGAGCGCTGCATCACATGACCTGGCCTCCACAGTCACCTGACCTAAACCCAGTTGAGATGGTTTGGGATGAGTTGGGCACAGAGTGAAAGAAAAGTCAACATACATGAACGCCTTCAGTACTGTTGGAAATTCCATTCCATTACAGGTGATGACCTCATGGTGAGACAATGAAGAGTGTTCAAAGCTGTCATCAGAGCTGAGGGAGGCTACTTTGAAGAATCTAAAGTCTAGAACATTTTGTTTACTACATAAGTTCATCTGTGTTATTTCATAGGTTTGAGGCCTTCAGTTCTACAAGGTAGAAAATAATACAGATAAAGAAAAATATTGATTTAGACGGTGTGTCCAAACCTCCGACTGGTACTGTGAATAAAAATATTATTATTAAGTGTAATTCTCTCCTTTGTGGCCAGGAAACTATACGGAGCATGTTTAGATGAAACCAGGTGATTTTTCTGAGCCTAATAAAAATTAAATGAACCACTGAAATACATGTGGATAACAGCTGTGATCTTAGCAACTGCTGTTTAAAGACAGAAGAACCTGGGCCAGTATTCACAAAGCATCTTAAGGCTAAAAGTAGCTCCTAACTTGCTAATTTAGGGGAAAGTCCTAAAAATAATGGTCGTGTCAGTCCTAACTTTAGGACTCCTATTATTTTAATTTTTTTACTAAGAGCTACTCACAAAGCCGCTTAGTGTTAAAAGCAGCTCCTAAGTCTGGGAGAAGTCAGAAGCAGTGGAGAGGACTCCTAACTCACTCAGACCAAATCACAAAGAATCTTAAAGAGCTTCTGTCATTCCACATCACAGTGTTCTGGAAACCTTACACGATGCTGAATTACCTAAAAATATACGACTCAATCACGAGGGAATAGTGATCGTTGTGGAGTTTGTGAAGAATGCTATAACATCTGGAACAACCCAATCACTGCGGAAATGAAGTGTTTGGCAACGCTGCGTCAATAAATGCGCTGTCACCCGACATCATAGGACAATTCGTACGATTCATTTTAGATGTTCAACTACTACAGAGAAATAAAGCAGCTTCATGGTCGGTCTACCTGCTGTGATCGGTGCCAGACGAGGAGGTGTTTGTAAGCGGGAAAATAAAATCACACCATCAACACACAGGTTGTGATGATGCTGCCTGTACAGCTGTAGACATTGTTGTACAGGGTCCAGGATCTACACACGAGTCATGGATCTTAATGGAGGGTGACCTGATCAGCTGTTTGAAAGGATCATGTTCCAGCTGGGTGTCACCTGGTGGGTCAGAGGAAATCTTCTCACACCTCAACCCACAGCCACATTACAACAGGTACAGCTGCAACAGACTGTGATAGGCTGACAGTTAGCTTTAATTAGGTAGGACAGGTTCGTTTTTTTTGTTTTTAATTGAGAAGAATTGAGAGAGAAGAGAAGTACAGAAAGATAAAGAAAGAAGTTGTGTGTGCAACAGGTAGAGGGAAGTATAATAGTATGAGTCATGTATGCTATCAGTTAGAGGTTGCTTAATAACTCCTCAACAACTCCGTCTCCTGTGCTCACTAAACAACGTTTTTATATTAAATGTGTGTGTTATATACATTCAATTCACTCAGTGGAAAAATAATAATAATGTTTCCAAACACTTCATTTCCACACTGATCCATCAGTTGGTAGGAGATGTTATTTAATCCCTCACAAACTCTAAACCGATCATTATTCCCTCGTGATTGAGTCGTATCTTTTCAGTAATTCAGCGTCCTGTCAGGTTTCCAGAACACTGTGATGTGGAATCACAGCAGCTCTTTAAGATTCTTTGTGATTTGGTCTTAGTGAGTTAGGAGTCCTCTCCACTGCTTCTGACTTTCAGTATTAGGTGCTGCTTTTAGAGATAAGGGGCTTTGTGAATTAGGAGTCCTAAAGTTAGGACTGACACGCCCATTATTTTTAAACGGCAGGTTAGGAGCTTCTTTTAGCCTTAAGATGCTTTGTGAATAGAGGCCCTGATCTTCAGTACTACATTAGTAATGAGGCAGAATTTGGATGATAGATGGATCTAATGCATCCAAACACTGATGATGGGAAGTATGGTGAGGTGGTCCAGGGACAGGTGAATCATATCCTGTGTGTTGGACTGATACAGATACAGCATTGAGAAACAAGCGCTCATGTCTGACCTGAGTTGAGAAACTTTGTCCAGAGTAAAGAGGATGGACTGTATTTCTCCTGCTGGTATGGAGGTCCACAACAGCTTCAGGTTGACTCTGTCACTGTGTGTGAGGGTGAAGCACACAGCAGCACAGTCCACTGAGTCCAGCTCTCTGCAGGTCAGGTTGATCACATGATCAAATGACCTCAGTAGACTGGGTACAATGTGACTGGCGTGAGCTCTATACGTCTCTCTGATGGCAGTCAGCACAAAGCCGGGACTGGACCTGAGAACATACAGTGTATTTACCAGAACACTGTTTAGAATTGAACTGCTGATGAAACATAAGCTACAAAAACACATATACAAATGATTCAATAGGATAAACTGTATGTGTGGATCTGGTAAATGGTAAAATAAGGGTGAACTAAATAAATTGACCACCGTTTAAATAAAATCCTGTCCAGGAAGGGAATCAGACGTGTGATGTTCTCCTGTATGAAGTGATGCTTCCTCAGGTTCACAGTGATGGTCTGAGCTGGCACCTGCTGCAGCAGATAGTGAAGAACCTCCCAGTCCAGACAGCAGGAGGTCAGGTCTCCACCAACCTTAGTCAAGCTGGACAACGTCAAGTCCTGGTCCTGGATCTCATGGAGGAGGGCCGGTAGCTGCTGGAAAGTCTCTGCGCTCAGTCTGCAGGTTCAACAAATACAAATGAATATACATTGTGTCACTCATTAGAATGTATTTATGAGGCTCAGGAAAGATCTTTACTTGATTCTTAAGGGACCGTTGTGAAGCAGCAGTGTAACGACACACCGAGCAGGGACGCAGAACTCAGTCAGGTCTAACCGGTGGACTTCCCAGTATCTCAGCAGGGACGCCAGACGTCTGACAACCTTCAGCAGCTCTCTTTCTGGTGGCTGGACTGTCTCAGGGGCAAGAGAAAGATCTTCAAGAACCAACGGACAGACCATTCTCCCCCTTCTTACGCATCCAAACAGCAGCAAGGCCGTGTGGTTGGACAGCCTGAAAACCCAAGAGAGAGACACAGAGAAAAGCAGTTGTGACATTAATAACGTAGACCACTAACGACACATTCAAACTGAACAAGATGGTGTCATGGTGTCATACCTCAGACTGTGTAGTTGTGTGCTGGATCTAAAGAGGAGGGCGGCTCCTCTGACAGACACCTTTGTGGGCGTGAGGATGAGATCCACGTTAGAGGCACAAAGTCCAAGAACTTTCCCCACAGTCCTGCAGGTTTTCCTTCCTAACTCCCCTGTTAGGTGCAGGGTGAAGCCCAGCAGCTTCAGCAGAGAGGCCAGCTGCTTCACCTCCTTTCTGGATTTTACAGAGATGGATGTACACACACTCTGGAAGAACTGTGGACGACAGCTGAAACACAAGATTATGGATGAACTGTGAAAACAGAGCGACAGTACAAGAACAAAAGACTCACTGCAGTACAACGTCTCTCATTAAGGATGAGTGAGCAGATACAGAGGGATGGCTTACTGTATGTGTGGAACTGTGAAAACATCACAATACATTAAAAGACCATATATTGTTAAATAGTTAATTGAAAAATTAATTCATTTTTATCTACATTACGTTGATTTGTAAGTAACAAATCAGTTTTTTCAAACCAGCAGTGATTATTAGCTGGATTTGTTAACAAACCTTTTACAGTATTTGTTTGACTTACCTGAGCTGTGAGATATAAGGCACACACTGCAGGAAACTCCTCACTTCACTCTCTTCATCTGACCAGCCTGTCAGCTCCACTTGTTTCTTCTCTGATTGGAGTTTCAGCACTTCCAGGAGGATGGAGGTCTTTCTCTCTGAGAGGTCTATGATCCAGACTGGAGGAACTGACTGGAAAACTGACTGTAATGCTGGAAGAACACTCAGGCCTGTTTTAGACTCATAGTCCTTCACATGGGAGAAAAGATCCAGCAGGAAATCACACTGATATTGAAGATCATCATCATCATCATCATGATCCAGGTCTCTGTCACTAAGAGGGAATGTGTTGTATCTGCACACTGATGATAACATCTCCAGTATCTTCTCTCCTGTCTGCTGTTCTCTCTCTGCTGCTGCACACAACAGATTCCCACAGATCTCGGCTCCATCTGAGACTCCAAACCAGCGAA